AAAGGTTCTACACCATCTGCGTCACACTTGTACGTACGGGTAATGTATCCACCATGTCCGTAGACCCACGAACACCCTCCCTGGTTCTTCACGCGAGTGACTAACCATCAGTGGGGCAAAAACACCCCGGATACATCATTAAAAAAACCATACGGTGGTGGAGGGGAAACCCGGTCCCCGGGCAAAACCCCTCCAACGAAAACCCTATCCAACACGAAAACCATTGCTATCACGGCGGATGTACAACGGCCGCACTTATCAGAAAGACCAAGGCGAAGACAAGATCGCAAGGAACTACGTTCCCCCGGACGATGGCCTCCCAACGCCCCCTACTCCTGCCATGGGTACACAGACCGCGACAGTAATGCGACTTTCCCGCATGGTAAACATGGCCCTTCCCAAGTGCTAAAAACTGCTAGCTACTCCGGCAAATTCATCAACTTGCGCCGGTGGTGCTGCAGACTGCTCTTGCTAAGAGCCTTGGTAAGCATATCCGCATGCTGCTCCGACGTCGATACAAACTTGATCGAGATTTCCCCCGACCTAAACAATCCACGAATGAAGTGGTACCGCANCGCCACTTCGAGCTCACGGGTCTACGCCCCTCTGGCGTACCGTCTACGAATGAAAACGTTCCCGTGCCCAAGTGCCCATCAAACTCTTCCCTCATGGCCTGTTCCCATCCCTCTCTGTACACAGACTTGTTAACGCCGGCTACGGTCATGGGGGGGGATTCAACGTCACTCGGACGCTTGCCTATGGGGGATTCTGTACTCAGCTCGTTCGACGCCAGGGCCCTCACGAAGGCGTCTGAAGAGTTGAGCACGAGGTCCTCCGCTCCCAGCAGGAAGTCCTCTGCCTCTTGGCGCGCGATGTTGGCCTCCTCCGCGCGCTCGCACAGCAGCGCTTGCACCGCCCTCGCCTCTAGCTCTTCCACCACGTCGACCACACACGCGATCATCCAGTGGGTGTGCTCCGTCGTGCTGTTGATGGGCAGGATGGGCAGCCCCGCCGCCGACGCATGGCGGGCGAGCAGGCCTTCGGCACTCGTTGGCGACGGCAACGATTCGTACCTCGTGTTCCGGCGAGGTTTCTCCCTGAGTCGGCGGCTGGTGAGCTCCGCCGGCTCGCCAAAGCGGGCGAGCTTCCGTCCCTCGGGCCCGCGGAG